TAACAAGTGGCAGGATTTTGCTTTGTTGCCTTACCCTTCTCTTTACGTCTGATTTTCTTTTGTCACCTAGACTTGTGCCAGACTGATTTGGTGGCATCTGCTGTGTATTCTTATGGTGGGATGAGCAGTGAGTTGTCAGGTTTTCCACTGACATAACTGGGGTTGTTTTAACTGTGAGAAATTGGATACTTTGCAGAAAATATGTAAATATTGGAATAAAGAGGAAAAAAAAAAAAAACAAACTCAAAGATTCTCCTTGCCCCATGTCTTTCCCTTTATTTCTCTAGCCACCAAGCAGTGCTTTTTGGACAGACTTCTGTACGGTGACCTTGGCATCCATGTGCTGCTATGACCTCACCACACTGTCGCACACCATGGTCTCAAAATGTAAAATATCCTACTATAGGAAATTTGACACTATCAGTATTACAATAACTGCAGTAAACTGTGGAAGAATATGTTTCATGTCAGTGGAAGCAGAAAAGCTAGTAGATGAATTGGACTCCTTTTTAGATGAATCTTCTATGGATCAGCAGGTTTATTCAGTGTTACTTAAAAAGCAGTTAACATTCCATTAGCAACAAACTGATCTGTGTCAGCAGTAAAGCACTGTTCAGTCATTTATTTTAGAATGAACAGTCACTGCAGGGAGAAATAAAACTATTAAATGTCTCACAAGCAAATAAATAGTAAGGCAAAGCCAGGGAGTTTCTTTCTTATTCTAAATATTAAGCCTTTCTCCTAGGAATATTTATTAATGTACAGTGATTTTTTTTTTTCCTATATATGTATCTCTTTTTTGTCCCCCCGCCCTGATGTTTGCTATATGCAGGATGACTCAGAAGTTTCTGTTTCTTCTGATAGTTTGGGTTTGTCGTCAAAGAGAAAAGAAGTGCATGCTCAGATTTGTCAGATTTGGCTGCTGCCATGTTATTTTATTCAAGTAGGAACATTGTTGGTTCAGCATTACGTCCTCTGCTAATCTGGCTTCGGTCCCAAAGAGCTGTCTTAAAATAATACCTTTCCTTGCAGCTAGCAGTAGGAATGTACATGGCCCCATGCCCCGACGGGCTCTTTACCTGGTGATGATTACTTTCTGTGCTTCAAGCAGACTTTATCTCTCAGTTCTCCTGACTTGGACAAAATCTGCACTGACACAGGAGTTAATGTTAGGCTCTTATTATTCTTGAAGGGCACGTTTGATACTCTAAAACCTTTTTATAACTAGTGAGATCAGGTACAAAATAGTCTTAGAGTGTCACTGATACCATGGCTAGGCAGACACAAGTAGAACAAGCAATCTTGAAGTCTTCCAAGTTATGTGGCAGCAAAACCCACTCCAAGTTGAGCTGCTGATGGCAGAAATCCCAAAAATGTTTCCATGTTAACCTTGTGTCATCCTCCTATGTGGTATTGTGCCAAATAAAGCTCAGCCAAACATCAAACAATTAGAATTTTGATTGCTTTTGTATTGTTTTGAAGCTAGTGCTCTGACTGTACAGTCCTGCAACCCGCTGAGGCAGATTGTCCCCACTACTGGATGTGTCACATAAAAACAGGAGCTCAATAGTTGCAGAAGCTGTATGGTATTTTAGTAATAAATTTAAACGTAGACCCCCCCTTCCCAAAGTAATCAGTTCTACGTTACACAATAATGTTGCTTCATAAGGTTTTAATCTTTTTTTTTAATTGTTCTCAAAGATGAATCATTATAGAGAGACATAAAGAGACAAGGGAGGAAGAAGTCTAAACAAGCAGGTGGTGACCAGGGTGGTTAGCCAACTGGTATTTCTGGGGAGCCCAGTAACAAGCAGATGCGCAGCTGACTTGTCTGTGTCATGTAAGACTAAGATTAAGACATTGGCTTTGTGATACTGATTTCAAAATTTTGTGATTTGACATTTATATATATCAAAATATGTAAATGGAGTCAGTACAAGTAATTTTAGATCTTTAATCAAAATTAGCAATTAGAAATGAAGAGCTATTATTTACAGTAATAACCAATGTCCCCCCCCATTTCCCTGAGATTCTGCTCTGCCTGCACAGATCAATGTGAAGGGAGATACTCCTTTTTTCATCCTTTTCAGAAGAAAAGGACCCTGATGAGTGTTTCTCCTCTAATGTGGAGAAACAAAGTCTTTTTTTTTTTTGCTTTCCGTTTCTGCTAGCGGCTGCTCTGGTGTGGCCTGAGAGCATAGGAAACATTGTGAGGCCTTCTTCAAAAGCCATAACCTCGAGGCTGTGTTCATTCTCTCCCATTTCCTTGTAAGAAGATTATGATAATAAATAGTAATTTAGAATGAATTCTAAGCTAAGTCACTTGGACCGCTTTTTTCAGACCTGAGCCCTAACTGCAACAACCGTGTTTAGCCCTCCCTCCAGTAGTTAAACTCCTCTGCAGATCACGTTTGCAGAGGTGTGGGGTGATGGCGAGCAGCTTGCCCGGCTGTTCTGGAGCTCAGATTTAATGGTGGGTCCAAAAGCTTTGCAGTGAATTCTCCAAATTTAAATAACAAGAGCAGCATTCTATCATCTTTTCTCATGTCAGTTCTTTCCTTCCATGAGTTGAAACTCTAAGGTTTTCAATATGGCTCAGTGATTCTAGTGAAAAGGAGAGAGCAAGGGATGAATAAAATTGATCATTCTGGAAATCTTCCAGTACTGCCGCTTAGAAACTGGGGTTTTTTTTTAAGAGATATACTTAAAATTAGCTCTTGTGTTATAAAGAATACAACCACATCCCTGACAGAAGTGCAAAGCATCAAGCTAGGAAGTAAAAAGGAATGTATTTTTATAGACTGTTTATATAGTCAGTGTAATGCATAAGTGCATGCAGATAATACATAAAACATTGTAGATGTTACAACCACACATATACAATGGTGTTTATTTAAATCACCTTTGCAAGTATGTTCTTAATATCAAAAGAAATATTTATAGTTCTGTTTAAACTCTGTAATAAATAAGAAAATTGTAATACACTTTAATATTAGGTACAAATTCAACTGATGATGGCATATCTTGCATAACTCATGAGTGACCCTGTACACATTGGAAAAAAAAATAATGTAATCTGGTCCAGAAAGCATAGATTATGCTTCCCTTTTAAGACAGATAATATAAGTGAACTGCACCTTTGAAAATGCCCCTCTGATAATATATTATTGGATATTATTTGCTTCTGGATTTTTTTTTTTTTTAATCTTTGAAAATCTACTACATGTAGCAGCAAGTGCAGGAGGCAAATTGTGAAATAAAATTTCTGGAGTGAGTACCGCTGAATTGTTAAGTGATTCACCTATATGTCACCTGTTAATCCATCCCTGGTAGAACTGCAGAGTTTTGAGCATCTTGCAAACAAGTGTCATTTTAAATAGGAAAGCAAGACTTTAAAAATGTGAAACAAGGAAAACAAAGCTTTTACAAAAAAAAAGTTGTCACTAAAATATTTCCTGAACACCAATAATCAGTTGTGAAACCATTGCATATTTCTTATCCATAAATTCTGATTTCTTACAGTCAGAGAAATACTTGCTTCATTTATATATGCAGATAGAGGCTTCCTATGAAATCTAGCTGTATTGTGGTCCCAGTAGCATTTAGGATAAATATTGCAATAGCTTCTTAACGTCTTTTAGATATATACCAGATATCACTATTGACAGTACCTTTCCTGTGTTGTGTACTGAATTTGTAAGGCAGACTTTATTCTTGCTTCAGATTTCCTGGTTTCTGACCAAAAAGGGGCACGCTGCATTTAAAAGGAGACATTAAACAGTGCCATTGCTGTTTTATAAGTTCCCAACATTTTCTGTAATAGCTTCTCTAAAATGTGTGGCATAAACAAAATCCTCAAGCACACTGCGGTAAAATGGTTTTATTGGTGCTCATTTACCCTGACCTACATAGGTTGTTCTCAAGCTCCCCATTCCTGAGCAATGTTGCTCATTCTGTATCTGTGCCAGGAAAGCACTTAATCTGTGCGAAGCCTTTTTTTTTTTTTTTTTTTTTGTTAAAGTATATTCCACCATCAAAATAAAGGCACAAATACAATTTACGTTCTATTAGTAAAATGAGGGAAAACAATCTCAAGGAAGAAAGAAGGCAGGAGTTACCCATCCAGTGATCTTACAAAGCATGTCTGCATAGATCTAATTTTCCACGTTAAGAGCAAAGAAAGCCTGAATACCTCTCTAAAGCCACCCGTGGATGGAAAACATGGAAATGGAAACGCATTATGAATGGCATCTCTTATTTTAGGGAAAAAACTAAAATCTGGGTCTATTCCTCGCTGACCTTCTATATTTCAATGCTTTAAAGCACTCTCTAAAATTTACTCAACACAAAAATACTGAGGGAGGATGCTTTATTTTCATTCCATGTTAGTATAATCGTCTAAGATTTTTGAAGTGTTATGTGATGAATAAATCAGGATTTTTATTTTGGACAAAGCAAAGATGTCATAACGAATGAAATTTGCCAAAGCAAGAGAATCTGAAAGGCAGTGAAGCTCTGGACAAATGACATGTAAACATGTTTCACCTTAGCAAAATATTGCAAACTTCGGGTACAGATTTTATCATGAAAGAGATCAGGGATTGGTTTTGCTTGCTTGGTTTGCATGAGTGTAATATGTTGAACATCACACAGAACATTCATTAAAGCTTCCTATTAAAATCTTACTAAATTAATATCCCTTAGAAAGCAAAGCATTAGTTTGAATTCCCCAATTTTTAAGTACATTTTTTTCCACTCAAAGTTTTTTCTCATTAGAACTTGCTGACATCTGTATGATATACATAAACTGTTAGGTATGCATCCAAAATTCCTTGTAGAAAAATAATATTACTAGAGCTCAGGCACTCTGAATCTTCCATGTAAAGCATACAATCAATGCATACAATATCTGCTTTAATAAAAAAATACAAAAAAATCTTCTTTTTATCTGTAAAATTTATTTGACAAAAAATATACTATCCTGCCGAAACAATAACTGATCATAACTTTCTGAATTTTCTCCTCAGGACCAAAGGTGCCCCTTTGATTGGTGAGGATGCTGCTGTGGTTATAAGTTTCAGATTTTCACGTATAAAATTGCGCTGTTGAACTGTGGCTGGTCTTATGTAACTGCTGGTAGAAACAACTTTTGCTGGCCTTGTAGGAGGTACAGTCTGTGGAGGCAGTCCGTTGATTTTATAAGTCCACTGCATCGATGGTGTCTGAAAATAATGAACAGGGACATAGAAGAAAAAATAAAATCAGTGATCAAATACCTTGAAAAATTGACAGTGATTTACCATGCTACATTGGTTTAAAAATATATTTATCCTTTTCTATGTAAGGTACTGGAATAACACAGAATGAGAATTGCACTCCAGGAACACAGAGAACTGAAATCACATTTAACTTTATTCATGACCAAGCATAACAAAGATGACAAATTTAGTTTCCTGGCTGATCTAAAATTCCTTTTTCATTTAGTAAAACCCAAAGCTTTGTATGATGTTCAAAGGTATATTTTCCATAGTACAATATAAATGCCTTGGGTTTATACTGTAGGATTTATTTGCAGCTCTGGTATTGGTAACAATGGTATTACTAAATGGTGGAATTTTTGCATTAAAATAATGAACAAAACTAAGAGAAAAGAATTCTGAGTATACACAAGAGAATTGCAGCTTCATGTTGAAATCTCTAGTTTGAAGAATATTTATGCGAATTGAAAACGACACTCTTCATTTGCTTTGTGTTTATAACTGGTCTCTAGGAATGGAGCATATGTTTCTCTGTCATGTCTTGTAATGCTTGAGTACTTGAGTCTTACCAAGTACGTGATTCTTATTCTTACTACACATCCCACCTATCCATACTTAAGCAGTATTATTTCTATGTATATGAAGGCTACACTGCTGTCTATCTCCCAGGTTTCATTTGTGTCCTGAAGCAGAATTTTGGTTGCTAAAAACTCATGTCTAACTATTGCAGATCTTTCAGGCTCTCTAAAATCAATTTTTTTTTCCCCAACTGTGTCACCTTAGTTCTTGAAAACAGGTCCTTATTCCAAGTCTTTAGCATTTTCCTGTCATTACATCTAGGAAAAGGTCTATTTGTGGTTTTTAGTTTTCTGTTCCCCTCTTCTCTTAAAAAAAAACAAAAACAAACAAAAAAAAAACAAAAAAAACCAACAAAAACACAAAAAAACCCACACCACCACAAAAAAAACAACCACAAACACCAACGCAAAGACAAAAACCAACAGAAATATTATGAACCCCAAAGATTTCAAATGATGTGCGAAAGAAAGACAAAAGCGTTGCATGCCCAATTTAGATCATTGCAAGCAGTTTTGCATTCATGTTGCAGCTATCCAACAGGACGAAGTTTCAGACCATTAAACTGTAAACCCTTTGGCACAGGCTTTGTTCTCTGCTGTGTACTTATACAGCATTTACACTGTTTCGCATATAGGCTGCGTACGCTGACAGCTCTTACATGTCATCACCATATGAATCTCTGATTGTGGTGGTTCTTGCTAGACAACTGATTTTAACCAATATTTGGGCAACTGAATATATATTTTTCTGTGCTAATGTTGAAATTATAGCTGCGTTTTTGCTGTGTATTCTTAAACATTTTTTAAAACCTCTACTTTAGAATTGGCAGTACTGATTTTGCATAGTGTCTTCTAAATGAATTGCCTTATTCAAATAAGATTAGTCAGTGTGAGCTCTTAATAGATATTTCACCATGCATGCATAATTTTTTAAACTTTCATTACTATTCTGCTAAAATCAAAATCTAATTTAAATTGAATATTATTCCTGTGTAAAACAGGCAGATTAACTCATCTTTATTCTCGATCTTATCTAATACTGTGAAACAATCTAGTAACTCTACTGACTGTAAAGATAGAATCCAGCAAAAGCAGGTGTGATACAGGCTAACATCAGTATCTTATATCCAAAGATAAAGTTGTCATTTAAGTAAATAACTCTCCAAAGTTAGCTAATTGTTTTATTAACTTCAATACAAGATGAAATGCTTTATCTTTCTTTAGTACACTAGATGAGCTATTTAAGTTTAAAGAAAATTTAATCTCAGGGTCATATTCACTGTGTGCAACTCTCATTGATCACTTCGAGGTCAGAGAAAAGATCTGATAGGTGTTTCAGTCAACGACTTGAACTGAATATTAAGTTACTAAAAAATCATTTCTGTTCATGAAATCCACACATATTGTAACTTTACTGTCTATAGTGTTAGTAATTGTTTGAAGTGAGATTTCAACAAAAGTGGTAGGCTATACTACCTCTCAACTCCATTTATCATCAGCATCAAAAAACTGATATAGCCTTTTGGGTAGTAATAACCCTTTTCTAATTTTGTTTGCTATACAAATATCCTAGATTGTACGTCCTGTGGAAAAAAACTTTGTGGCTTGACTTGGTGAAAAAAGCCGCCTATTCTGTTGCTGCTGTAGCCTGTGTCAGGTGTCGTTCAGTGGCAGGAGAGATTGCTTTTTCACGGATGGAAACCCATTGGCTCCAATGGGGAAAATGTTGTGGGCATTATCACAGGAACCGTTTAGATAGGATCTGTCAAGCTAGAAGGGGGAAAAAAGCAATAACAACAAAAAAACCCCACCCTAAATTATCTTGAGCTATAGTAGTCCATCTATTGTAAATTATGTGCTATCAGCCTAGACAGCTGGAGACAATCACTGTGAAAAAATTGCATTTATGTACTAATTTACTCAAAGATTCTCATTTTAGTTCAGTGTTGTCTGCTAAAGGGGAAACAAGTGTTGCACGAATGGACAAGAGTTACTGTAACTGCCAACGTAACTTGGGTTAGTGTTTGTTTAGCACTAGAACCACCTAGAATTCAGTAATTTTCAGAAAACCTTAGATACCCACAAATGTCTACTTCACTAGAATATTTAATTTCCAAGGGCAAAATATTAGGTTTTAAAATGGTGCTGAAGCCATAAGTACTTTTTTCAGGATAAGGCTGTACAGCTGAACTACAACAACTATTCTAACCAATATGAAAACTGCAGCAAGAGCAAGTCTACCAAGTTAAGAGTCCGTGCAAGTCCCTTGAAGTTGCTACTTTGGGTTTCCAGGTCAGACAAGTTTCAGCAAAGGAAAAGATGGATCGAGTTTCAGAATTTTCTGGAGCGGTGGAGAGGAGAGAGAGACTTCGAAAGGTCATCTATATATGACCATATAATTATGACAGAATATTTGATTTACAAGCTGTATTTACTTGCCTAAGAAGTGGGTCAAAATTTCCCAAATCAGAGGAACTCTTCCTATGCTTAAGGCAGTGCAGTTTATTATATCAAATTTGGAACAATTCTAATACTAGCACTGGTAGTAACAAAGTCTAAAGATTAACATATTGAATCTACTACAATCTACACAATCTCCCAGAACAGAAATATAAAAAGGACTCTCTGCTAAGAAGATGTATCTAATATAAACATAGGTATTTAAGAATCCCAGGCTCCCTGCAATGCATCTCTAGGCCTTGTGCACATGCAATTTAAGAAGACCAGACTACAGTCTGAATGTCCTTGACAGTCTGAGGGAGGTTTTCTTGTTGAAATGAATGACTTCCTCTTATCAAAACCTCAAAATTCCTGATCCCCCTAATCTAATTGAAATATGGAGAGAAATAATTTGGCTCACCTGGTTGGAGTAATGGTTATCTGCAGAGCTAAATCTTTCTGAAGATTTTAAAGAATTAAAAAGTCAGATGCATGCTGCCACTTTTTACTAAATATCAGAAGTTATTCAAGTAAATTATTTAACTGTCTTGATTGCTGAGTAATGTTCATGAAGTAACTTATACAGCAAATACTGATAAGAGTCATCAAATAATTTATATAAAGTGTATTTTTTGGTATTCAAACCATTCTTACAGATGGCTCATGATTCATAGAATTAATTTGCAGAACACAGAGCATCCATGTGTATTCACTGGAGGCTGGAAGTGCTGCTGAGTTACATGCTAATTAATTATCAAAGAGATCTGTGTTAGGAGGGTGTTAAATGTTGGGAGCAAGTATCAGGAATTTTAAGGTAAATGGTATTCCAATTATTTTCTGAACAGTGTTAACTCGGGAAAGTCCAAATAAAATTTATAAGACTTCCAAATAAGTTAAAACACAGGAAATTACAGATAGTGCATCCAGTATTCCCTGACCTTTAACCTATACTGCAGCAGTGACAAGCAAAAAATGACCAGTTATGATCAGTGTATACAGAGTGAAAATAAACCAAACCTTTATGTGAACTGTGGAATTGAAGAGCAAAGGCAAGAAAACTCACAGATCAAGAGAAAGACAGTTTAATAAGTGAAGAAAAGAGGGGTAAAAAAAAAAACCCCAAACCTACAGCAAAAAACCAACAACACACAAGAAACGCAAAGGCAGGCAGTCACCACCTCTCACAAGCAGACCAATGCCCAGCCAGGCTCTGAGCAATTTCTAATGAAGAAGATGGCTAACAAGCATTTTCTTAGCTTAGAGGAACATTTCCAGACAGAATTAAAGGTGGCTTAATCGACTTCTGCAGTTCCAATATTAGATGTTTCACAGCATTGCTCAGACGTAATACAGTCAATATCAACCATTCCTTCAGGACTGGTGATGGTCTGAATACCCTCGTACAGCAATGGTTCCCATATTGTGATAATCTTTTGGCATTATGAGAATTATAGTTTCAATAAGCAGAGTAACCTTTTCTCATGCTTGTGAAACAAAAACTTTAAGTATCGATTCTGCACTCAAAATCCAGTGTTGCTAATTATAGGATGTGCTGCATTCACTGCCTGTAATGAATTTTCTAGATGTCTGCTTTTAATCATAAAACTCTGGTCAACATCAACCAGTGGCAAGGGACACAGGTGATGTCTTATTTAATGTGAAACTATTTCAATTATCCTGTTAACTTGGTTACATTTTTCCTTGCTCATTCTGTTTAAGAAATACAGTTTAGAGTAACATTAAACTATGATAATTAATAAATCTACCAGGAACAATGCAGAACGTATTTTTACCAAGCTACTGAATATGTAATAGTACCATTTGCTGTTAAGATATGCAAGTTTGTATAGACAAGCTTAGAGAAGCCACACCTGGGTATTGTGGCTTGCACACCGAATCATTTATTTGCAGAACAGCATGACAAATGGTTTTGATATGCTATCTTCCATAGGCTAAGTTAGTGTTTATTCAGTAATAAAGGTGCACGAGCCTGACTTCTGGAGGGCTTGATAATGTTACCTGCAATCTGGTTTACTCTGACATCTATTTTATCATTTAAGATTTATTTTGTGTGCCTTCTGCTTTGGAACATCTCTGAAGTCTCACCCATGAATTACACACAAATTGCTCAGGTCTTCTGGCTGAATTCAGCACAGTGCACACAAATTAACCGTAAGCCAACCCGAATGCATCCTTTTCCAAGGATTCGCCAGCCTCCAGGCTGCTCTGCCTTGTGCCTGGCAGCAACTCCTGCCCCAGGAAGCCTTCGCAGAGCATCCCCCTGCCCCAGCTCCTTCTTGCCATCCCTCAGCTCGGTTGCTTTCCTGTTCAGCTTTACCAGCACATTGCAGCCTAGCTCTGAGACGTCAGTGCGGCTGAAGAAGTCCTTTTTTTCCCCTCACAGCACTTTATAGCTTATCCAAGAAGCATGCTCTCTTCACTAATTTATCATTACTGGCAATACATTTTTTTTTTCTCAGCTAGAACTGTGCTGTTTGTGAAGGCTATTATAAATGTGGAAGTTTGGTTATGGAATAATACCTATCAAAAAAAAGCTCTTCAGGCACCGTGTCACTATTTATTACTTGTAGCTTGACTAGATTATAATGTTCTCTTTCACAGCTACAGAAATGAGCATGATTATTTTCTTTACTGGCTTTTTATTATTTTTCATTCTTTGATCTACAGAAATTTTTAAAGTAATTTTCTATGTCACTTTTTCAAAATTAAGATTCTTAACAGCTATTCAAATAGTTATCTAACTTCAATTGTTTTGATATGTAGTTGACTGAGAACAAAAGTTTTAATGATGGTTAAAGAATATTTAATTGCTTCAGTAAAGTAATTACGGTTTTCTGCCATTAATAAAATCTACTGTAAGTATTCATAAATATTAAAGTCCACAAAATATCCCACAAAGTACCTGATTTGTGTGCAGAAAATATAAATTAGACTACATTATTTCAATTTTATATATATATATATACATTCAGTTAAAATGTACACACTAAATTCTGGTAAAACCAAATTGTAATGTCTTAAGGGTAATTAGGTCCTCAGGGCTGGGTTCTCAGCAGGGCAACTAAACAAAAAAATTTGCATGTACAATATTTGGGTTTAATGTTTGCAACAAATAAGAAAAAGATGACTTTCCCCATAATCCTAACCTCCCATTTTACTTTGCAGCACAATTGTAATGACCAACATAAACCAAAGAACTTACCCTGTCATCTCAGCTACTTTACAGCCTAATTATCACTGTTCATTGAAGCACACCAAAATGACCGTTCTGCTACTCACTATTCAAATAATTTAATAATAACACGCTAGTGTTAGGACTATGACTTTACCCTCAGAAGTGCAAAGGAAATTTTAGAGCAAGACTGCTGTACTCCTTTACTACGGCAGCATCAGAAGAGAGGCGACACTGTACAAGAAAGGAAACTTCCTCACTGTTTCTAAAAAACAGTCCAAAGCCTCAGCCGGTATAGTGTGCAACACAGGTTCTTCAGTGTCACGTCCAACATTAATTGTGTTTCACCATCTCCTTTATTATTTCCCAAATAAGAATGATTTAATACTAGTTTTGCATCTAACTAAATCTGTCTCTCTCAGGTCACCAGTGAAAATGATTTCAACTAAGAGGAAAGGCAGAAGCGAGTATCTGGCATTCTCAAGATGTCATCAAGTCTTATTTCAGGTCAATGTTGAGAGCGCAGCAGCAGAATTACACACAGGCACAGATGCTCTGGCTTACATCAGAGCTACAGGAATGGAAGCTTGTGTGGAGAGGAGAGGGGGAAGTCCGATGTATACAAAAGGACTATCAGTAAGAGCAAAGAGTGCACAAGCCTCACCAAAACATTACTGAAACAACTTAATACTTCAACAAGAATGTTAGAAATACCTCTAACACACTGTCATGGTGTAATATTGGTCCAAATGGTGCTTATGAGCATTAAGAGTCCTCAATGTATTTTTGAACATACAGGAATAGATAGGACAAGATGTGATCTGATACGTATATGTAATATGTATCATATGTATATGAAGTATGTATGAGTGACTTCCTCCACCTGCACGCAGTACCAAAGGTGGAGATGTAAAGAGCCATCTGCCTCGTTCATAACCAGAGACCAAGGTGTGCATAGATGCAGGTTAAAAATCCAATTCCTCAAAGCCCATCTGTACTGATAAATTCCTAACAGGAAATTTTGGATTACTGACTGAATTCTTAGAAAGCTAATCATAATCTTTGACCATCATGTTTATCCCATTCCAGACAAATTTATTATGTTAAAGCTCTTTGTTAGTGATGAAAGTTAAGCCAAAGACAAACATAGCTAGTACTTTTGCATGTGTCATGCCTAAAAACAGGAGTCGAGTTCCAGAACTGCATCAGAAGATTCTGAGCTCTGTAGATGTGTCATATAGCATTATGTAAATATAAAAGAACACAGAATAAATTCAGTCAGCTATTTTCTTTTTCAAATGGAAGCGTGATAAGCATCATTGCTGTTTATATAAAAAGACTAAATTAATCAAATGTCTAATAGGGTAAAAGAAAACAAGTAGAAAGGATTAAAGGGCCTTCTTGTTTTTCCAGGATTTTAATTTCTTATTCACTGTTGAACAAGTTGTCACTCGGAGAGATAAAACACTATAGTCATTTGCCATGTATCTTTTTATCAACTTTGTTTTGACCATCATATTTTTCAAATCAATATTGCTGTTTCACTTCTAATATAGTAGCCTGAAAATTGCCAGTATGCAGTGGATAGATTTGAAGTGCAAATCATGATTTGTAGAGAGTTTGAGGTGTTTGATGATACTATGTTTTCAACAAACAGTTTCCTTTTAAAGAATGACTTAAAAATTAATTCCTGCAGTAATAAGAACATTTTTACTACTGAAGGAATTAATGTCTTCAAACGTTCCCTGACCTTTAGACTTACTGAGGCTACTTGGCTACAAATTCTTTTTGTTTATTTTGAAGCTTGTTTTAAAAAAGTTATTCTTGGCTTTGCGTTCTGAAATTCTGCCTTCTACAGTTTAGTATCTAGCTTCTAGTGCCTTTGATCCTAGGAGGTATAATACAAGTATAATCAATAACCTAGGCCTCACATATTCAATTACTCATATACTCTCCGCCAGTTCTTAACATCATTGTTTTGATTCTCTGCAAAAGGTCATTCTGTCATGTTGTTTATGGAGATGTATCAAGATAAGTATCTGTCTCTGGTGATGATGGCAAAGGGATAACATAGAAATTAAAATAAGTTTTTCCAGCTTGTCATGAGTTAATTTTCAAAACTTGTCTATTCTATTGTGAAGAGTAGTGAAATAATCACAGCGTATACATTTGTGTGTTTCAATGCTGCTTTTTTGTATAGGATTTCTTTTTTCCCTTCCATTGCTGAAGGTATATTTGTGCACTGAATTCAGGAAGGCTTACCTGAATTACAAGTATCGCTGTATGCTTCTTGCCGTACATACTTGGCTTGAATCCCACCGTTATAGGGGTTCCCACAGTGCCAGCTGGAAGAAGTTCTCCAGCTTGCGGCAGCACCAGGAACTCATGGTCGCTGCCCTCCAGGAATCGCGCAGTGAATGGCTCTGGGTACCTACGGAAAAGCACAGGAGCCTATTGTGCCTTTTACGGTATCTTAATACCATATATCTACAATCTGACATTTAGGCCACCATGTGGCATGACTCAGGAAACTTGGCAGCCCATGGAATGCGTATAGATTATTAACAGTATTCTTACAGAATAAATATTATGTAGCAATTATTCACATTTATTTACAAATATTTATAATCTGCATATTGGTCTTCCATTTCAAACATACTTACATGCTATTACAAATACTATAACTACTAGAGGATAATGATAGCATTTGACACGAGAAAGAAAAGAATCATCTGACCTGTGAAGATATAATAATAATAATGATAAAAATAAATTCCATTTCAGAGTGAAAAAATCTACTTTTCCTATTAAAAGCCCCTCGCTTTTCCAAGCTCTAATCAAATAAAACTCACAAGCCACCCATTTTATTAAGTTTTATGACTAGAACTGAATTTGCAATCTGGTGGAGTATTACTAGATTGGGAAGGAGTTCTGAAAGCCTTGAAATGAACGTATGGAAAATAATAATTTTCTATCACTGTTTTCCATATTTTTCATATCCCATAAACTAAACATTTTAAGATATTGTAATAATGATAATTAGGTTCCTCTAGCGATATTATTGTACATCTCTTATCTCAAAGCATTTGTCACAGGTACTGCAGACCTTGTCTAATTGCTAGTTTCATGGCAGTACTCTTGCACTCGAAGAAAATGCCTTGTTCCTGGTAAAGACAGTGGCTGAGGACTACAGAACAATCTTAGGCCAATCCCAAACTGAAGCCTGTCTATCATGGTTCCTCAGGGACTCCTTGCCATAAACTTTCTCATCATAAAAAGAATATATATTTTTATGATGTCCAGCTTTATCCTTTTAGTTTTTATATGTGTTGCTGAGGACAACTCTATCACTATCTGGACAGAGAGAGAACAAAAGAAATTGAAACTAGAAATACAACAGCATGGTCAAAAATAATCCACAACACCCTGCCACAGTACAGCAGGGCAAGTATCATGCATGCTGAGAGGGAACACATTTTCAGTTGATAAAACTTGAAGAATGAAAAACTAGCAGCATCTCGAAGAAAAGCTGTTCAAATCTGTTTATTCACAGATTGTCACACCAGAAATAACACTGCTTTCCAAAGAAAATACTCACAAAGAAGTGAAATTTAATATTTTATGACAATTCATATCTCTACGGAAATGACCCACATTTCATGGGCAAGTGCTGTTCTGTGGGTGGTACACTGGCTCTGTCATCCTGTTTAAAAATAGCTCTCCTTTGGAATATGTTCTCACGAAAGGTTTTCCTAAATGCAAAATGCTCTCATGAAAAAAGGTCACACGGTAAGTTTATAGAAACAAATAGTGGGAGTGCAGAAAAAGGAAACCAAAAAGCTTCTGCCTCCTCAAAAAGAAATTAACTGATACTTAGCAGTGCCATCAGACTTCGGTGCATTACCAGATTTAGCCTAATTTTTCCTTTAGGTGACAGCAAGGTGGGCAAAACTACTGAATGTCTGAAACTATATTTCAAGTCTTGTGACATCAACCTTATGCTGACAATCGCTTCTCGTGGTGCCTAAAGTTGTGCAGCTGAGTCTATAGCCCTGGGCCATAAGCACTAATCCTGCTACAGCCTGAGTTCCCATCTATGTGCTGTCTAAGCCTTGAATTTTCCCATCTGTATTTCCCACAAAGACGGCTCAGCTGAGAACGCCTAGAGCATACTTACTACACACAGAGGGCAGACAAGGGATGAAAAAGAAGTGATGCCTCTTAGGCTGAGTAGTAGAGCAGAGCACTCATCAAGAACATCTGAGATGAATATTCAAACCCCGCTTCTGGAAATAGAGACCTCAACATTTCCAGCATCCTTGCTCTATAGACTAGATTTAGGAACATTTTAAGACAGTGCTTTCTTTATCTCCCATGTTCAATCTGTTTTCTGGTAAGTAGTTAGGGATGGCAACTCCCAATAAGCACTTTGTGTCTTTGTAGGACGTACAACAGTGTGACTTAGAGTACAGATGCAATGATGAAATGCTAAGGGAGGTGGAACAGGCTGCATGCACAGAAGACACAAGAAAATAAGGACTTCATTCCTGCAGAAATTGCATCTTAGTAGGGTGTGATGCAACAGTAGTTTTTTTTTCAGAGACTGTAAATGATTCCTCAAAACAGTTAGTCAGAAAACACACAGGAGTAAAAGCTATAGTTTTAGTCTTGACAAGGGGATCAGACAGTTTAAAATGAAACTGTCACAAAATTGATCTATAATTGAGCACACAAGCTATTTGCCAAGTTAAAAAAAAAAAAAGTCTTACTGCATCAACCTTGTCAGATTTTAATTTTCATTAAGAGAAACAGAGGAAAAACTAATTAAAATGTTTTAAAGAAAATCTGCATGTTTTTTGACAGCATTGCCACAAGGTACTAGAGGCAGCTATAATTCTTTTCTGTGGTGAGTAAAATATATATACACATACAGACATATATACTTACATGAACACGTATAGTCACACCTAAAACCTCCCTGTTCCCTTCTCTTCCCCTTCTCTCCCCTCCCCAAAGCCTGGCAGTTTTAAACAAAAAAGTCAAGTCAGCTACTGGATTCAAAATGTTCTTCAAAGTAGATGCTATGTCTGAATAAGGAAAATAGAAATTCCAGCAAATTGAATGTATAGCCATCTTATGACCGGCCATAATATGATAGGCCAGCAGAGATTCTGATGAAGATATGGCTAATGGTGCAAGAGCTAGCGATTAAAAACTTACACACAATCGGAAACAGGAACATTTCACGGTGCCTGTAGTGCTGATAAATCATGAATTTTTGTTTTAAAAATATATCTAAAGATGGTCTCAAGAAACAACAAGCAGTGTTTCACTGATGTTCACATCAGGGAGATGACCTGGCATCCTGGCTAGCTCACTAGCATAAGTAAATTGATTTCTCATTCTCATCTTCTATAGTACAGATAAAATTCCCAGAATAGCACCTGAATTTCAGGCATTATTATTTTCAGTGTCTGTATATTTAGTGTATAATTAAAAATTAATAATTATATGGTTTAAAATGATTAAAAATTAATTCCTCCTTTTTGATTACTGCTTCAGGTAAAACAGCTTTGGAGTCAATGTTTGCCCTGTCTTTCCTCAGCCATGAAGGACAGTGATGAGGCAGTCTGCATTTTTTCAAGAAGGCTTTTGTTTAACTCAAGGGTGGCAGATACTAACATGCTTGATAAAGTTTAATGACGTGCAGAGTTTCAAACACACATACGAACCAAGCACAAATGAATTAGTAAATATAAGGGCAGAGGCCATATAAACCAGAGAAAGCAAATGTGTCTTCCCACCCGTATGTTCCATAACTCCTGTCATAATGGCTTGATATTGCCCTCAGACAATATGAACTCTGCCCTTACTCAAATAATGAACAAGTGTAAATATTAAATTGAATTTAAATAATAATTGAACAATGCAATGGCAACCAGGAAGAGTGAAAATTGAGCTAGTATTTAATAGGCATATTTATAACTACTCCTTTAATCTTATTCTTAAATAGCATTGCTCTTATAGCAGTCTGTGCTCGTCAGTGTTCTCATATTAGGCAATTTTCAAATTAGTAAACTAAAAAAGAATAGCACCTTATGTCTTCAATTAAATAAAACCTTAAAATTTATATTCCCATAGAGATCTCACTGCAAAACTTAGAAAATACCCAGCAAATCTGAAAATATAAGCCTTTATTAAATTAAGGCTCAAAAATAACTTTAATGTTTACTCCTCTCTTCCTCAAACTAGTGAAGCAGTAAATTATTCCTGTAGAAATGTATTCCTTCATAAAACTCAGCATTTTGAAAACTATACATAAAAACAATGTACAGTGCTTTTGATCAAATGTCTTTTTTTTTTTCAGTAAAAGAATAACAAAATATCTTAATCTGTAAAGAATGTTGCAACATGCTTTCAAAAATAATTAATCATAACTAAACTTGCTTCTTGTAATTTGTAGTTAATATCTGTTGGATGATACAAGAATTTTCAGTTATTATGTAGTGAAGTTCTTTAAACTTAATAACAGCATAGAGCTGTCAAATTCTATAAAATTATTAGTCCTAGTTGATATGACTTAGACAACTTCTTTTAAAAAAAATGACAATGGAAAAAAAATCAGGAAATCCTCATTATTTATCAAAATTGGTTATGTTTCATACCAAAACCAACTCTGGTTTAATTGACTACTCTAAATCCTGAACTCTGGACATCAGAAAATATTTAACTCCAATTATCACTCTATAGCTTTGGAAAGACTGCTTCAGAATTAAAGGACTTTCAAAAAATATGAAGAAACACTGCATGACAAATGATTATCAGGGAATGCTTTACCAACTATAACATCACTTTTGTCATCTACATGTTGCATCACCAAAGCAGGAGCTAGTGTATTTATCTTCACAAAACGTTAAGATTTCTGTCTCATTCCTGTTCTACCCAGGGGTACTCCATTTGCAGACTGGTAAACTGACTTTTCCTGCTAAAAGTGGTCCTGGCTAAATGTGTGACATGTAGTTATCACCAAAGGCACTCTGTGGATCACTGAACATCCTCATTCAACTTGGTATATATATATATGAGAATCCTAATCTGTCCTTCATAAGATCTTGAGCCTTTTGCTTTGGCCTGAGGTTCTCAAATATTTTCTGTTGCATCACTACGTACCCTGCTAGCCCCAAAAGATGTACAGGTCTTCTCAGTGATGCTGAGCTAGCACTCTGGCTTGCAAGCAGCAGAGGGAGAAAAAGACACAGCTGCAGGTTACGCAGAAATAACATCTCTGTTTCCCCCCGCAGCTACTCTCAAAGCAGCAGTGTCAGGAGGTACTATCCAGCGTAACAGAAGAAGATAGAAAGTATCTATATGCAGAGTGAAAAAAACCCACCTCTCTAAGTACCAGAACTGCCTCTCTATGGGATTGTGCTGCTAATTGTTTACTCAAGAAAACCTCTGAAGAGCTGATCATTTTTTTCAGGGAAGGTCTATAAGATGACACTCAATATTCTAATTGAAACTTTTAATCCATATTTTAATATTTCAAGGTTTTACTTTTAATCTAAGTCATTTGAGTTATTCAAGCATTAAATTACATCTGTCACATATGGGTTTCTTGTGTAACAGCTTTTAAACTGCAGATCCAGTATGCTAAATGTTGGTTGGCTGACTGTCCTATTTGTATAACAAAACCTCCACCACCAAAGTCTCCTAAGCAAGTCGAAGATAAGATAAAGCAATATAAAACTTACAGAGCAGTTGTTGGCACTATTTACGTTACATTTTGGTTTTGATATGTATGGGGGGAACCCTTGTTACGTAAAATAAAGTTGGAATTTGTTTAAGGGAAAAAGAGAATCTGCCTTCCATCATGGCTCCTTCTTTGTATAACTACAACGATTCAAGTTATATAATACCTTTCTGGAGAACATTAGGTCTCTTCACTACTATCAAACACCTACCAGGAGATTACAGTATTGCCAGAGCAATTGCTTCACTTTTGTTCCTGAAACAGCCCATTCTACTGAAGCTGTTAACTTGAACACTGTAATAGGAGCCTTTTTCAGAGTCCTCAGTAATTACCATCACTGACAGCAATCTGAAAGCTGGAACAACTGTCCCATCTTAGAGGCACACGTTTTGGAAATAAGCTCTTAAAAAGAAATCAGTTGGAACTGAAGGCAGGACACATCCTGCTGGGGATGCTACTACAAAAGCATGTATCTACAATGAAAGTGAACTGTCAATCAGTGTATCTGGCACACTTTCTAGATATATAGTAAAAATTGTTAATTTTAAAGAAAAAGAGAAGCTTTAAAACTTCCATAAGCTAATTAGATTGTAAGCATCATGATTCTTTCAGTTTCACTGTTTATTATTTTAAAACTTAGCTATCAGTACCACACAATTTATTCCTTGCCTTCCTGATGTACAGAAATGACACTACAGGTTTGCTATAACATTATGAAACTCTGAGAAAATGATGTAAAAGTTATATTAACAGAGATTTCTGGAGGACTTTTAGAAAAGAGAGTACAAAATACTGAAATATTACACCATTATTTTGTCTCATGAAAGGGCAGAGTAGAGATGAATTCATAACATGCTTACATAACAAAAGAGGAACACTTTAAAAAGAATGGCACATTTAAAAGATTTTAAAGTACAATGCAAAGGATTGTTTTTAACTTGGTGTAAGTATAAGGTACTTTGATAAACAATCTGCTAGTAAAAACACTAAGGCTTTAATAGTGAGCCCTTAATACCACAACACACCTTCCTTAACATTATATTACACATTTTTACACACACAAGCATTTTAGGGCAAAACTTTAAAGTCATAATTTAAACATTTGTATCTATTCCACAAATTTTCTCTTGAGGGCCTGCCTCCTAAATGTAGAATGCTTCTGTTTTCTACAGTATAGCTTCAAAATCACATTTGTTACCTATTCAACACAGCACTTGAAATTAATGATGAAATAGCTGCAGTCCAGTTATGTTTCTGTTGCCCAAATCTATCCTATCCGATGTGACTGAATGCGAGTTCTAGCCTCAGAAAACTGCATAAATACCTCAACATAAGTATTTTTACCTTGTCTGGCTTGTAAGCTTAAAGCCAACTATAGATTCCTTATTCAGGCCAACTGCTTCAATGTTGATGACATCATCCACTTCTGGCTCCGTAGCAATGAACAGCATCGGAAACTTCCAAACACCTCCCGTACTGCATTGTACTACAAGAGTTGCTTCATTCCTTAAAATGTCAGATAAAGGCATTCAATACATAGAACAACATTATAAGACATAAACTGAGCAAATCAATGTCCAAAATAAGCCTCGAGTGTGTAGAACTAAACTACAAGTAAAATGAAAATACAGTTGTCTTTAAATTGGAATACATCCTTAGTTTTGCATGGCATAGTATGTATCAGTGGCACTTAAACTGAAATGTAGACTAAATAGGACTTGATATTTACAGCAAAGCACAAGAAAGGAAATAATATGAAAGCAAAATTATTGGCACAGCCATGAGATTTGATTCTTCTGCTTACTCTCTGTTGAGTTAAACAAATTTAACTCAATTTGGTTTACTCATTATTTTTCATTTACTGTGGTTAGAAGAGAATTTTGTCCAGAACACGTTAGCAGTTCATATTAAAATCAAATAGATCTGACGAAGGTCTATGTACTTTAGAAAAATTCCAGACTGTTGTCTTCAGACCACCTAAGAAGAAAGTTGGTGCTGTAGATTCTGAAGATAAAGAAACTAATTAATTGCAGTCACTGAGTCCTCTACATGAAGCCTTGGTAAGTCTCAACTACACAACAATAAAAAAACAAAACAAACCAACCAAAAAAAAAAATAACAAAGGACAAAGTAGAAATAAAAAGAGTTTCTAAACCAACCTCCTCTCTGACACTGACACTGCATGGGGGCAGCGGATAGTCTTTCCTAAAGGTTTGCTCTTTGTTTATTTCAGTAACCTTCTGGACTACTGCAAATAAGAGTTCCCTCCTGCATCCCAAAAATACCCTCTTTGCATGCAACCCATGATATTCAGCAGTGACTGCTCCCTAATCTTCCTGGTAATGTCGAGCCCCTGCATTTACCGTGTGCCTGCAGGTTACTGAAGCTTCTTTCCAACCTCCTCCCCATACACATTTGACTGCTTCAAAAGAAAGGCGCAACTTCCCTCTCTCCAAAAGCACCTCTCTTTCACAGTTTCTTTTTAAAGCGGTGGGATGTACTAATGTAAATCAGGCAAATCCATAATTTTTTACATCACAGCTATAAAAGAGGATAATATTTTCCTGTGGACCATTGTTACTGGGGCACTAGAGACTAATTTCAAATGCAACCATCCCATCTGGCCAAAGAATATACACATATGCTTGTCTAGGAAAAGTTTTCCAAGACTGACAGACCATCTTGTCTTGTCAAAATTCTGTGAATTTTGAGAACAACTAATTTTCATTGGAAGTCTTTCAATACTCCAATGTTTAGAAGTAGATTGATGCACACATAGACTAAGGTGGTAACTCAACAGAACCATCTCACAGACATTAAAAAGAAACACTGTCAGTTTTAATACCAAAGATATCATACTGGGAAGCAGCAAGTGAGAAAATAAAAAATAATAGATCTCAGAGGTGAAAATAAAATGAGGAAAACAATGCAGGAAAGTGCTTACATAGCTAAGGGTGACCAGACAGGATTTTATTGCGTATTCTGTTGGTAATAAGGAACAGGAGCTTACCTCATTGGTTTGTTAGGTGCAAACACTACGTTAAAGATCAGTGTTACGACTCTGGATTCTCCATCCCATTCTCTTTCAACCAGATGTATACCAACAAAAGATTCAAGCTGAGATTTAATTTCATTTGATTGATACTGCAATTCATACAGAAATTCCATTGTTGTAGAGAAACCTAAAGGAGGCAAGAGAGGAAGATCAGTCTGTGTGCACTCTAACGTCACACAGTTGGCAGGGTAGTAGTTACAACTCTTTCTTTTGTTACTAAAAATGACAAATAAGAAAAAACAGTAATTATCCAAAACTTGAGTGATTTGCTTGTGACTGCATAGCAAAATCTTCCAGTTTCATATGACAGGCCATAGAGTTTCTGGCAAAATGAAATCTGGAAAACTTACTTAGGCGATGTGAACAGTAATAGCAATATTGTTCCGGCTATCACTTCTGCATTACGGTGAGATATTTCTAGTTCATCAGCCAAATGAAAATTGCAAGAATGTAATACTATTAAGTAATGCCACTGGGACAATCTCAAAAAAAAAAAAAAGTCTTTAAGGACATCAGTGCCATTGATGGCTGCAAGCCCGAGAAACAGAACACAGAAAAATAGTGAAGATGTCACCAGCAGCCTCTTCTCTTATTCCCTGTAGCAGCTATGAAAAGGCCAAGTAGCACTGACATAAGAATAAACAGCTGAGTTTCTTGAATCAAATGTCTCCTCCAGCTGTAATAAAGAAAACTGTGATATTCAGTATACAATAGTAATTTGTGCACAGAAGGGAACGTTCCAACGAGGAAAAGAATCTCAAGCTGCTAATCTATATAAAAGTTTTACAGGCTTCATGGATGAAAAGTCTTTTAACACAACTACTAAATCCTACAGGAGACTTCATTTTACTATGACCACATACCTCAGGGCACATTTTGAATTTGCACAGCTTAGTACAACGTGTTGTGCAGAACTCCAGTGTACACATCCCTGTATATATATGCGGGCTATAGAGTGCCAGCCAGTTTTTTCCACGGCCCATTGTTCTTCTGGAAAACCTAGAAAGTTTGCATCTTAAGGGCTTTCATTAGCTGTGCCTTCTTAAGGAGAAAATAATGTAAAAAATCTAGTGCAAATTAGCACAGATAGATCATTGTGAGGTGTTATGATCTTGCAGAAGAACAACTAAGATCCTGGAGAGCTCTGCTGACTATGGGTTTGGTTTACCGAAGCTTTTGCAAAATATCATTACAAAACAAGGGTGTTGTGGTGCTGTTTCTGTGGAAATAATACTTCCTTATCACCAAACCAAAGAAATTACAGGAAATTCTGTGAACAAGAAATGTGAGAATTGGAACTTTGGCAATCACAATCATATAACAATTAAATCAGTTCTTTCAGACTTCTCATCTTTCCTGGATGTACATCATACTGAAAAGTAACACCAGGAAGAATGTAATAATTTCTGGGTTTGTATTATTATCGGTTTTGTACTTTTGTGAAGCTGAATAAATAACTTCCAGATTAGTTTATAATTGATCTGGTTCTCTGTAAGTGTTGAATATTTTAACTGAACATGATTTTGCATAGGTTTTAGAAAGTAATTTTAATTTACATAATGATCACTCTCATTCTTAAAGCTTGCAGATTTCAGTATTTTATAAAATGGTAAAAAACCAGAAATGAGTGACTGTCTTGTAAACAGAAACATAAACAGTTCCAAACTATGTTTACTCACAATTCCCAAGCTCTTTTTTCCATATTTGTTATTAATGTTTAGTTATATTAAGAAATGGGAGTAGGAGGGGTTACTTGTGAGAGAAAAAATTATGCAGAATTCTTTCTTTTTTTAATGGAACAAGTGGTAACCTTGTATATTAACAAGAAAGTCCTATTTGAAGTTCTTCATTAAAATGCCTGTGCATATTGCAGTTCAATAAAGAAAATAAACAATGCATGGAATCTCTCCCATGTTTCACACATAAATAAACAAACAGCCAGTTGTAAACAAAAATTACGTAGCTGACAAAATAATCCATCTAGGCTTTCATTTCTACTCTGATACCCTATTCTTTGACTTCTACTAGTTCCCTGTCTTCCAGCAGGATTTGTCACCCTTAACAACAAGGTAATAATCCATAACAGAGTGACCAAACCGGTGGTTCATCCCCTTGTCAACACTTTCATTTTGCCATTGCTCACAGTTTTCACCAACTGTTAATCCAAAACAAACACTTCCTTGTTCTTTCTTCTGCTTCTTGCAGAGTAAAAAGAAAATAAAAATCACTTAATCTCATTTATATAGCTATAGTTCTCTCATCATTCAAACACTCCTTCAAAAATAATGCCACAATTATTCGGATAACAGAGAGATGGCTTAAGTAAGATACAGGGCCATCTTCATCATTATCATCCTCTTCCTATTGCTTTCAATATTAACCTGCTATATTTTATCAGCAATTAAATTAAAATCTCTGGATGAGAGATAAGTCTATAAGAATATTTTGTCTCTACCTATAGTGGCATTTTTTTTTCTTATACTGCCAAGATTTCTTTGGTCATATCCAATTTAATTGAACCCATTTCTTAAAGCTGAGCTTCCTGATCCAGACCCATCACATCAAATTGGCATTTAGTGGAATCCATACCACTGGCTTACATAAAATCTGCTAGGGCAGGGGAAATAGCTTTTAACATGTGTTTGGTCACGTTGTTGTTCTTCCCCTGTTTCAAAAAACTACTTTAATGAAATTAAAGAAAACAGCAGCTTTCTGTATATTCTGATGAGTGTCAGGAATTTTTGAATGTTAGATAATTGCTATAAAATTTTCTAGAATATATATATATTGGTTGGTTTTGTAAATGGTGAAACAAAGGGTACATGTATGTACCCTTAATGTATGGCTTAATGTATGCCAAGGTACATTATGGATTAGCGTATCTGGAAAATGTTATTTAACCACTCAGTGCAATTGAGCTGTCCGTCTGCTTTGTCAGAGGTCAGCATAGCTGTGAAACTGGCACATAACAATAAAAAAACCTTATACCTGCGCTACCCTACAGAACCTGGACAACACTATCACCCCCTGCCCAAAACTGGCTGTCATGAAACCTTCTCAAAAATAAGAACTCAGGAGCAAGGAGCTAAGACCAGCCTTTGGGCTGTGAGATGAGCTATGAACTAATAAAGATTAGGGAAGTTAATTATAAACACTCGGCCCTTATGTTTGGCTTATGTGATAAACTGAAGCCATTGAAATGAATAGGTTAGGTTACAAAGGACCGTTACAAACAGAGAGACAGAACAGGTGAAGGTGAAGTACTTTTACCTTATTTGCAATGTTCCTAAAATAGTATGATATCCAAGCTATTTATTCTTACCATCAGTGACTTGAACTTCTTGGATGTCGGCTGGCTCATTTGAGTTGACCACGGCAGAATTCCTTGTAGCAGCCATAGCAGTTGCACCAGCAACTACACCCGTCAACGGCACTTCTACTCTGCTTTCCACCCTCTGCCTGGCTTGACAGCATACCACAGCTACAGAAGAGCGAGAACCCATTATTTGTAAAGTGTTGGTATCTTGATTTTAGCAAAACAATTAAACACAGAAGTTAAATCTGCTTCAAGAATGACAGATTTCCAATAAGGACCAAGACAACTAAAAGTTTTTCCCCAACCCACAATTTCTGTTGTTCTGTTTAGGTGAAATAGTAGAAAATATTGCTAGGCAAGCAAAAAACTGTTTCTACAGTTAGTTCACAACAGCACTTGCAAATTTGTCCCTTTTTTGTAATCATGAAATGTACCTTCATTTTAATTCATTTGCAAACAGAACTTATGGCATAGTTTGACATATGCCAATGAGAAAGGAAGACTGAAAGGAAAACAAAGAAATGAAAGAATTTAAAAGTTAAATGAAGGAATATTAAGTTATTCTGACTTCTTAATTTAAGAACACTGTTGTTCAAACTTCATCTTTTACAGAACTAAGCTAGAATAAAGCATCCTGACATGAATTTTTCTCTGAAACATGACAAGGCTTTTTTCAATTCACTAAGTGATTTTAATTTAATGCTTCTAAAATACGTCTTTTTCATTACAAGGTAGTTGGCTTTTAGCTTATACACTAGATTTTATAAAGTTTACTTCAATAGTTATTGTTTATGGTTCTTTCAGTAATTATTGGTGCAGGAAGAGGATAAAATTAGACACAAGAACTGAAAGAAAAAATACAATTTCACAATGAAAACACTTAGAATTTTCTAGAGTTATGGAAATCAACATGAAAAAGAAGAGCTGATTACATACTTCTCATTTTTAAGGTCTAAATATTATTTTCATCAGAATTATACCCAATGATTCTTTAAAAATTAACTCTGAACATAACATGAAGATTTAATGATAAATAGTTTAGAACCATATGTTGGTAAGTAATTATGTAAAGTGTTTTAGAAAAGAGCAATGAAACCCTTACTTCTATACCATGTTTATTTAGCTTCAGCTTTCAGTTCTGGAGCTTGATTCACTATCATTATTTTGGAAAACAGACAATTGCACATCAAGTTCAAGTCATTTCCTTTCTCTAAAAAAAAAATGAACCTTTTTTTTTTTTCCCTTGGTCTTTTCCCGTTACCAGGGTTTAAGTAATTTCTGTAGCTCTCTTCTAAGCATTTCCATGAGGGAGAATTACTGAAACAGTTAAAAATAGATCTTTTTTCCAAGATGCATGGCCTGATATTTAAGAATAAATTACATTGTCTGTATTACACCAGCTTACCAAGTATTTCAGATTACTGTGTGCAAATGTCATGCTCGCATCATTTTCTATTCTGCAGCTCATCTTACTACCAGAAATGATTTTACATTTTCCTTTTCTTAAATGGCTAAGTAATACTTATGGATAAAAATGAGATCTGTGTGGAATTTGCCTGGACAAGTCCCTGAGCAACCTGATCTAATTAGACCTGGCTTTGAGCAGGATGTTGGATTAGATGACCTCTGGTGGTCCCTTCCAATCTAAATTATTGTATGCTGCTTTAACTCTACAAGAATTAAAAAAAAAAAATATTCTGGATGATTTTCCGTTTGTAATCACTTTTATAAGATAGCCAAGTTGTAATCTACTTAACATGTACTACATGGGTTGTGACCACTGATCATTTTAATTGGTCTCATGAGATACTAAGCCAAGTGACTTCTAGAAGTTTAAGTATATTAAGATGCAAATAAGAATGACACAAAAGATGAACTGCCTAATATACTAGCAAAGCAGCTTTGGGTTTTGACATAACAGCATGTAGCCTCCAGGCAATTTTAATAAATGTCTGCATTAAAAGAAATGACAATACTATTTTGATTGTTATTAAAAACAATGATTTAAAAACAAAGTAGGTTTCTTGTAAATGACCTGCTTTGGTTTCATAGCTTACACAGGGATTTTTTTTTAAAGTCCATTTATAACTAAAAACCATAGGCTTTCAGAATCAAGGCAGGAGTGGAATCTGTTTCATAAACACACTTATAAACAGGTATTTTAGTTTTCCATGTCATTTTTCAATGAAAGATCTAGTACTTCCTTAGGAAAAAAAAATAACCCAACATAACATGGTGATGGCCAAAAAAGGATATGTATTCAAAATGAATGTAATGCTCCTTGTATGCATTGCAAACATTTGCGGAGCATAAACTAGTGGATAACACAGTTATAAATATTCTACAGTTTAGTTTGCTGTTTTAAAGAAACATTTAGGAATTTAAAATTACTTAAGATTTGACATTACTTAAGTTTCTGATCATATACAGAAGTGATATCACTTAAGCAATTTATGAATGCTAACGGTTTTAATTCATAACTTCTATACCTAATGAAAACAACAGTCCAATAAAAGGGAGATTTATCTCAAAGTCTACCAGTGAATTACATAACAGCTTTAAATAACGCAACAAACATTCACATCAATATACATAGTTTCAATGATAATGAGACTTGTTAAAACTATCATTTTGGGCAACAGTTAATTGCATGATAATATTCTGCTTCATTCCTAAGGATATTAAAGTGGAAACTAATGAGATGAAAGCTCCAGTTAACATCACATCATTGGCAATTGTCAGCAAGTAAAAGGTCTTTAAGCAAATTAGATTAATGACAGTAAATATATCTATTTCTACAGTTTTTCAGAAGTTATTCCTGTACCTAAGTCTATTTAGTGGAGAAAGGTGTTATATTCACTCATCAAAAGACAAGTTGGTGTAAAATTGTCCCTCATCTACATCTTCAGCTGTAGTTTCACCAAGGTTATAGATTTAAAAGACTGTTCACAATTTCTGTTTCACAATTCTGGGATTACATCACACCTTTAAAAAATAGGTGCATCAAATCTATAATCATTTACTATCCCAAAAATAAGCAACAACAAAAACCCTATGAATGTCAGTCATCAGTTAATGAAAGTTTACTTCTCAGGAGCAAGTGGAAAACTTACTGCTATTCACACTACTCTCTATTCTGGTTTTGAGTAAGGAATGAAATTCAAGGCTGAGAGAAACCGTGGACATCTACTCCAATATTTTGTACCCTGTAAACTCTCCAGAAGTGTGTTCTTGGTATGCAAGCAGAAATCCAACCTTGTGTCAGTCTTTCATTTGATTTACCCTCAGTTTTCTAAATCAGCATTAACTGGGACACTGAAGGGCCCAAACCTTGAGATTTTCAGCTGCTCCTGGCTCCTTTTATCCACAATGAGAACAAAATAATAGATCTAGATTTGCTTTGTAGGTTGGGAAAGGAGATCTTACTTTTAATGTGTGATTTTATCTTTTTTTAAGACATAGCAAAGTACTACTGCAAATTCTCATGATCAAGCAGATAAGAACAGAAATTACTATTTAATTTTCTTAAATTTATTGTTTGCATTTTTTTCAGTCTTTACCTACCTGGAAATAATTTCTGCAGACGTGCTTCAGGTATTCCATAAACTGGATAGATCCAGAGTATTCCCTGAATTCCCCCATTCTCTGCTACAGTAACACTGCTTGGAAAAGAAGTGAAGACTATCATTATAATAGTTTTTTTTTTTTCCCCAGAGTACTCTAGACTTAAGAGTTATTGGAGAGGTGAGACTCCGTTTTATTGTATGCTGTAATGCTAAACATACGTAAGAAAAATATGAAACAAAATCCAATCAAAACAGAACAGCAATAATTTGCACCCACTTAGTTTAGTCTCTTCAAACATTATTCTGTCAGGATATGAGAACATTTGGCCTGATCTTCTCTCTCCTATGTCATGTCTACACTGAAACAAAGTTTATGCAGTTTGTGCATTACATAAACATATCCACAGGAGAGTCATTTTTAGTCCAAATATACTGAAAAATTAGAGGCATCTAAGAGCTTTCATTTGCTCAATATCTATAACTGCACTGGCAGATAGTACTTCACATTTTCTTTATTTTGAGTTAAAAAATGTAGGCATTGAAACACATAAAAGTCTTTTACCCTAAATCTGCACACTTTGCGGGGTACATTAAAAGCTTATGTTGGATACCTATTGCCCTCAAAATCAGACACTTGATTGCCCTTGGGAGCTACACACAAATAGCCAAAGGGGAAATGATGATAGGATTGAGCATCCTCAACTACTTTTTCTCTTCCTATTAGAATAGATTACCTCTTTAAGTCTTCATTTAATTGAGCAGAATCCTCAAAAGGCCAGTTTTCACCATTTTCCCGCATTACATGAATTACCACCGCAGCCTCATACTTTTTCATTAGGTCTGGCATGAATGACACTGGGATGTTCAAATTTTCTTTTGGAGCTAATCGTATTCCTGTAAGATAGAACAGATCATTATGGTATTTTGAAAGTTTTGAAAATTACTTGTATAATTTTACTCATATATTCCCTTTTCTCTTTTGATACACTATTTAACATTTTATCATAGTGTACCATTCTCCCTGTGATAACAAATTTCATTTTATCCTGCTCTTACTATGGCCAAATCTCATCTTATAGTAGCATTTGTGGCCCGTATTCCTGTAATAAGGTATTTTGTGATTCAATGTCCTGAACAGAGGAGTTCACATAAAGTGTTATTTTAGACTTCTACTTAGTGATAAAACTTTGAAATGAGACCCAGGGAGACTCTGAAGGCTCAAAACAAAACAAGCATGATTAAGTGAACATCCTGCATTTAATATTCAAAGATCATGTGTAATATATGTAAGTCAATCCCATGATTTCCTAGGGCCCAAGTCATATTTTTCGAGCATCTGTGGATTGCAACATAAGAGAGTAACACTACATTAAAAAAAAGACCAATCCAAAAGCAATTGTTCATGTTCAAGACATAATTGAAATATATTTGAAAGAATCTACATTATCATTATATAAGCCATGTCTTTTTTGAACGATTTTTCATCTGATTGATTTTGCTGTTTAAAAAAAAAATCCTACGTTGGCCTGACAAATTGCATTTTTAAGGCCCTTTTTCCAATGACGTGCCAGTCTGCCAAGTATCAGAACACCTACCTCAAGGTGTGTTCCACCTATTTCAGAAATAAAGTTGCAGAAAAATTACACAAAGTAGAACAAGGAAATCATACAGTTGTTTCACTATCAAGCTCCTTGCTTTGAAAAGAATTTTTAAAATTTGCTGGAACTGACATCTCGGGCTTAGAGTTTCAGTTTTAATTCTATCTGCAGAAAAAAACCTCTCAGTTATGAGTAACTCCTTCTACATTATGATTTTAATCCATTTTTGTGATAATTTTTCATGCCTGCTACAATGCATACATGCTAATACAGTGCTATGCGTATCATTCCCTGAGAATGATTGAATTTGCTCAAGTTAGTATGCATGGGACAAGGAGCACTCTCCCCATGATTGCTTCTTCTGATAATCACAGGCTGCTGTGTTCTCAAAAAAATGTCAGCAGGGAAACTTTATCTTGTGATCCAAATGTTCACCTTCCTACAGCCTAAGTGCCTTTAGGGTGAAGACCTCAATGCTGAGAGCTGTAGCAGAGTGGGTAATAAGAAAATTGTGATGCAGTCTTGGAAAGGACAAAATAAAAGAGGTGGATGCATGGAAGTTTGGAAATGAAGTTGTAGGGAGACAGAGTAAAATGATGGCAGACAGGAATGGCCAGAAGCAAAAAAGGTCAAGTAAGTCACAGCAGGGTGGGAGAGAAGGGTTTGAAAGATAGCTCTCCAAAACACAGAACAAAAGTCAGACCTCCCCATCTGCACCAATCCTTTGCTAGCATTTAATTATAAAGTTTACTGGACATTGCAACTTCTATTTACAGTTGGACTCGATGATCTTAAAGGTCCTTTCCAACATAAACGATTCTATGGTTCTGTTGCTACCTCACAGTCTGTTGTTGCTATAATTTATTCCTTCAACACGAACAGCTTGGGTAGATTAACAGCATATTTAAATTAATAAATTGCCCTGTCCAGACTGGTTACCTTTACATCTGAAAACATCTGAACTAGGATCCATCCCTCTGGAACAGAAGTCAGCTACAGGACTGATGCACTATTCTGCCTCTGTGAGAAAAGAGGCAGCTCTTCACAGTGATTTGCCCACTTTGGGCCTATTCTGCTGCAGTTAAGGCAGAGGCCTGTAATATCTTTAAATTAGAAGTGTATTTTTCAGGATACATTTGCAATTAGATTGCCTTGAATCAAAATACATGCATACCAAAATAGTGTAATCAACAACAGTATGTAAGCACTTTTTAACACCATTATGGCACATCCATAAGTTTCATTTGCGACTCTTTAACATATGACAAATAGAACAGACTGTAAACTAGTACCTAGTTATACTACACATGCATCGCATATACTGTTTGAACGATAGCTTAATTATGCCTGTTACAGAACATAGTGCCTTGGTTTTTCAATAAATTTTGATAGAGAACCTGTATGATAGCATTCTGGGTCATTCTGGCAGAAAACTGGTTATTAAAGATCAGGAAAAGACAAATTTTATAGTATCGCTGTTGAAACACAAGGTATTCACATTTTTAATAAAAAAAATCTTCTTAGTAGAAGCTGTTCATAATGACAGTAATTTTTGTATCACTAGGCTTGCCTGCTGCTGTCAACTAACCAACTGATCATTAGCTGCTAGTACAAATTCATTTCCTTATGATTTTACCTGGTTAATAAGATAGATGAAATAGGCCTAACTACAAAAATCACACATTGCTTCATGCTTCTCTTTTCTCCTTCCCATTTAGAGAATGTGAGCCAGCAACTGTTGGCACAACAGACAGCACCTATGTGGACAACTGTAATACAAATCGCCCTTACCAACCAAGTTGCCTGTGGACCTCAAGTACTCTGCTGGGGATACCAAGAACTAATACCAGTGGCTGATCCCTTATCTTCATGTAAGTATTTATACTGCAGTGAGTATCTGAAAATTCCTCATAAGAAATCCATAGTGAGGCTCTTTTTGGAATAGAGCTGTATCACATCTGGTAAAAAGCTTTGGGCCAGATTTTGATAACACCTTACTTCTCTTTCACTGTCCTACAGACCACTAAGTAACAGTGATAGTAACACAGGATGCAAAATGCTAAAGGTTAAATTAATCTCATCCTGCTTTTTAATGTTTACGTCACCATTTTTCTTCCCTCAGTACAGTTTATTTAGGTAGGCGGGATGCAAGAGAGATTCCTTTCACAGATGGTCCACAATGATTGTATTTCTGGAAGGACTCTGCTTCCTGAATTAGGGATTCTTCCACCAAAAGTTAGAGATGCCCTTTCCCCTGCCTTTGAAAGCTTCACAAAAATCGCAGAATGGTTGAAGTTGGAAGGGACCTCTGGCAGACATGTGGTCCAACGCCTCTGCTCAAGCGGAGTCACCTAGAGCTGGTTGCCAAGGACCATGTCCAAGAAGGCTTTTGAATATCTCCAAGGATGGAGACTCCACAACTTCTCAGGGCAACCTGTTCCAGCACTCGGTCACCCTCACAGTAAAAACCACAGTATTCCCTTATGCTCAGATGGAAATTCCTGTGTCTTCTGTCACTGGGCACCACTCAAAAGAGCATGGCTCTGTCCTTTTTGCACTCTCCCTTCAGGTTTTTGTATACATTAATAAGATCCCCCCTGAGTTGCTGAGTTCCTTAGTTGAAAAAGTGAAGTCATGAATATGCAGCTCAGATGCTAATAAACAATTTCACAAATGACTGGTTAAAACTTGAGAAGTTGCTTTAAGAAATAGATTACACAAGTAAAGAAATGAATGCTTGAGTCTTTATCCGAAAGGCTTCACATCATCACTATCGTAAGCACACAATAAAATGTATTAGATACAGCATGCTTATAAGATTTGTTTGCCATTTTATCAATCTTGTGTTAATACAATTCTGTATACTTCTGGCAGAGTCTTTCTGGCTTATTTTATTAAGAGATTTCATTCAGAGAATTTCTTTCTGGTACAAAATAATGGATACAAGTTAAACATTTGCTATTTAGATTAAAATAAATGGATTGAGAACAGGGCTCAGTAATTAAATACATTGTTTCATTTAATGCAATTTATTCTGTTTTTAAACAAAGCATGTCTAAAAGGCCAAGCATAAAGCCTACTTTTCATTTATGAAATCATCCTTCTTTAACTAATAGCCCATAATGCAGTTGCAGCCAAAATCAAAACCATTATTTTTGTCAGAAATACCCATCACGTTTATTTATGTTTGAAGTGCAGTAACAAGTAAGCTTCCAAGGGTTAAGCATACTGAGGGAAAAAAATATTTCTAAGTACAGTAATTCACTTCTTTGGTGATAATCAAAACAAGAGAAATTACACTTAAGATCTTTAACTCTGACAGAACTTTAAAAAATACATGTAACAGATATCATGAAGATCACACTCTCTTATTGAGGATAAACAGACAATGACTTTTTTAAACCCCTGTATAAGATTATCACTTAAATATATTTCAGAACAAAGTCTCCCTCACTTCTATATCACATCTGATTATCAAATCAGGTGTAAGAATGTTTTGCAGTGATACAGAAATTACATAACCTCCTAAACTGGTTTATCACCAAACATGCCTCTGATCTCTGAAACTCTGCTACCTCCAACTTTGACTTTGGGTAGGTGTTACAGACCTGTTAAATCCCCCCCAAAATTTGCCTGACATTCATATACATGCCACATCCAATTATGTTTTCCATCTCTGCTGTTATCTTCTTCATTTGTCTTTGCAATTTCCCTTCAGAGGTGCTATGATGGATTTTGTGTTCACTTCACAGAAATCCACTCGGCCAGCACGTTAGAAAAGACACATCTGAACAGTAGGAGACGAGAACAGTAAGAAAGCAAGGTTCAAGAGCAGTACAGAGCAACACATAAGACACATGTCAGAGAAGGAAAATTACTGTAAAAACAGGGAATAGTGAGCAATAGGACTGGAAAAACAAACAAACAAAACACCCAGCAAAAGGGTAACACTCATAGACAGTAACTGGCAAAATGATGCTATGGCAGAGAGCAGAATGAGTGGAGGAGACCAGACTGCACTCTGTCAAAGACCTTTGGCAGAGGGAATGCCAAACAGGTAAGAGTAAGAAGTGAAGAAGCATAATCAGGAATGAGAGTAGTAAAAGTTTTCTAATTATCCTATGGTCCAACACTTTTTCTAAAACTTTATGGTGGACTGGCAGTTTTTCTTGCTTTTTCCTTCCACATCTATTTTTTTTGCATCCAATAATCTGATACACAGTAGATCTACCCCATCTTCCTTTGACTATTTTATACATTTGAACATTGTTTATCATCCTTATTTCCCTGATAACA